ATGAGAAGAGTGAAGAGCAAGACAGATATTCTGAAGAGGACAACATTGTCAATAAACCCACATCTGCAACATCAAAAGGGAATATGAACTGGTCTGAAGCCCAAAAAGCCTTCTTAGAAGAGCTCAAGAAGGATTTTAAAAGTCTAATGAGAGAGGTAGAAGAGTCCTTAAAAAATACAATTGGCCAATTGGAAAAAAAGTACACTGAAGAAAACAAGTGCCTAAAAAACACAACTGGCAAAGTGGAAAAAAAGTACACTGAAGAAAACAAATCCCTTAAAAATACAATTGAAGAAGGAAGTACAAAAACTAACAGAAGAAAACAATCTGCTAAAAACTAGAATTGGACAAATGGAAACTAATGACTCTATGAGAGAGCAAGAATCAGTCAAACAGAAACAAAAAAAATGAAAAAATGGATGAAAACATAAAATACCTCATCAGTAAAACAACCGACCTGGAAAATCAATCCAGGAGAGACAATTTAAAAATCACTGGACTACCTGAAAATCATGATGAAAAAAAGAGCCTGGACAGTATCTTTCAGGAAATCAAAGGAAAACTGCCCTGAAGTCCTAGAACCAGAAGGTAAAATAACCATAGAAAGAATACACCGCTCACCGCCTCAAAGAGATCACAAATTGACAACGCCAAGGAATATAATAGCAAAATTCCAAAATTACCAGATGAAAGAGAACGTGCTGCAAGCAGCCAAAAAGAAACAATTTAAATATCATGGAACCACCGTCAGGATTACACAGGACCTTGCAGCTTCTACATTAGAAGACCGCAGGGAGTGGAAGATGACATTCCGTAAGGCAAAGGAGCTTGGATTGCAGCCAAGGATCAACTACCCAGCAAAAATGAGCATGATTTTTCAAGGGAGGAGATGGATATTCAACAAAATAGGGGACTTCCAAACCTTCCTCATAAAAAGACCAGAGCTCAACAAAAAATTTGATCTTCAAGTACAAGATTCAAGAAAGACATAAAAAGGTAAATGGGACAGAAAGATACAAAATGTTGTTAATAAGGGCAGACTGTTTACATCCCTACAAGGGAAGATGACACTTGCAACTCTTGAAAACTGTATTGTTATTACACCATGTTAAAGGAGTATACATAAATAGGGAGGATCTTAGTTGACTTTGATGTAATCTAATCAAGTGGGTTAAATGGATCCAAGTAAGTGGATTAGTCTGATTTCAGAAAATGTACTGAGAAAGGAGGAGGCAGACAAGGGTAAATTACATTACAGGAAAAGACAGAAAATCCTATTACAGCAGAGGGAAAGAAGGGAGGGGGTGAGCATTGTTTGAACCTTGCTCTCATCAGATTTGGCTCAAGAAGGGAATAACATAATCTGTTAGGTATGGAAATCTAACTTGCCCTACAGGCAGGAGGAAGGAAAAGGGGAAAGAAAAGGGAGGGGGGATGAAAGGGAGGGAGGAAGCAGTGGGGGCGAAGGGGAAGAAGTGGGAGGGTGATAATAGAAGGGAGGAGAGACTGAAGGTGGTGGTGGTCAAAAGCAAAGTACTGGTGGGGGGGAGAAAGGAGAAAGAAAAGCATAAACGGGGGAAAAAAGAATGGAGAAAAAGACACAGATAGTAATCATAACTGTGAAAGTTGAATCGCTATCTTTTTTTTTCCTCTTCTGTTGAGTTTTGTTTCCTCTTTCTGATGGTTCTTCCCATTGGTTTTAATTTTTACTTACAACTTCACTAATGTGAAAATGTTTAATAGGAATGTAAATGTATAGCTTATATCAGACTGTGTGCCATCTTGGGGAGGGTGGTGGGGAGGAAGGGGGAGAAAAATTTTAAACTCAAAAGCATATGGAAAAAAAAAGAAAAGAAAAAAAGCATATGGAACTGATTGTTGATAAATCAAAATAAATTAATAAATAAAATATGCTACTGGAAAAAAAAGAAAACTATTTTCTAATTTGTATTTCTTCTGGATTGATAGTCTGACTTTTGCTTTAAGAAGTTAGTAGTTCTATTTACACAGGAAGCTAACAAAATAATTTACTGATATTATTGATAAGCATAACCTACCTTTTAAGCTATATCAAAAGATTTTGGCACAAAGCAAGGGGAGACAAAAGGTGATCAATTAGAAGACAGTTTTTTTCCCAGACTTAGCAGAGGGCAAGATAATCCAAATTATCAATGACCCCTGATACTTTGAAAAAGGTAATTGTAGTAGGAGGAGGCAAAATCAAAGTAATCAGAAGGAAAAAAAAAACGAAGAAGACGGTATGAGCAAAAGATTAAAATGTGAAGGATATGGAAACTTATGGGGGTCACAAGCCACTACAATGGTGTCTGACAGGGCAATGATAGCACAGTTCAAGTGAGAATAATGTGCTGGGGTTAAAGCTGCTTTGCTACATACAACACTATTATATATTCAATTACAAAGGTCTCCTTAAGGAAACAAAGAATACCTTAAATAGCAGGAGGGATATTTAGTAGTGATGGCTGGGCCATGCCAATACAATAAAAATGACAACACTGCCAAAGCTAATTTACTCTTTTAATGCTATATACCAATCAAATTATCAAAGGGGCATTTCATAGAACTTGACAAAATAACAAAAAAACCTCACAATGACTGGAATGAAAATGAAAAGAAATATAAAAACAAAATTGTAAAAACAAGCATAGGTCAAAGGAAAAGATATAAGAAGACAATTTTAAACCATCCATTTGTGGAGGTGAGAGGCCCACAGGTGTTACACATTGCACATATTTTCAGATTTTTTTTGATGTAGTAATTAGTTATATTGATTTTTTTCCTTCTTTTTTTTGGGGGGGAGGGTATTAAAAACACTAATATGGAAGGGAGAGAAGGAAGGATGCTATGGTGATAGGAAAAAAAATCATCAATAAAAACTGATTAAAAAACCTGTTTTACTTATCCTGCTCCAGATGTGAGACACCAGTAGCATCCCATCTACTTCCATTTTCCTCTTTCCACAGATGGTAAAATATATTAGGGATTAATCACTTTTGAAGAGGCTGCTAGGTAGCTCAGTGGATAGATCGCTGGGCCTAGAGGCTGGAAAACCTGAGTTCAAATCTGGCCTCAGACACTTACTAGCAGTATGACGCTGGGCAAGTCACTTAACCTCTACTTTAATCACTGGAGAAGGAAAAAGCAAACCATTCCAGTATCCTTTCAAGAAAACCCTAAAAGAGGTCATGAAGAGTCAGACAACTGAACAACAATGGCTCCTACCACTCAATTCACAAACATGCTCAGGTTTCCTTCACCATTAAACAAAAACCTTCCCTTGAACTTCATATCCATTCAAATTACAAGGCTATTTCTTTCTTTCCTTTTATTGCCAAATGTCTAGAAATAGACTGGCTATGTCCCTTCCTTACTAATCATTCACTTCTCAATTTCTTACAGCCAAACTTCCATCTCTAGCATTCTACTGAAAAAGCTCTTTCCACAGTCATTAATGACCTACTTACTTTTAAATCAAATGAAGTTTTTTTCTTCCTCTATTCTTTGACTTCTATGTAGCACCTGACATTATTATCCAATCCGTTCACTGTCTTCACCGGTTTCCCTGACAACTCTCTCTCTTTCAATTCTCACCCTACCTCTCTGATTAGTCTTTCTTTGTTCCTTTGCTGTCTCCTCATATTGTTCATGTCCCTTTAAAAGGGGTATCATCCAAAGTACAATGTTGGCCTTTATTTATTTTCTCATTATACTCCCTTCCTTGATCATCAAATGCAAACTGAAAGGTTAAATAATGCAACTGACACCCAAATCTTCATCTTCACTCCCAATCTTTCTCTAGAGTTTGAAATCCATATTTTCAACTGCCTTTATCATATTTCCACCTGGATATATTTCAGACTCTACATGTCCCAAACCAAACATATCACCTTCCTCAAAAACTGTGCCCTATCTACTGACACACTGCTTTTGATGGCAATGCCATTCTCCTAGTCACCCAGTCTCATAACCTCAGAATCACCTATTCCTACCTCTCTATTACTCCTTATGCAGCTAATCAACTGACAGTCCTGATGATTCTACATCTGCAACATCTATTGATTCTGTCTCTTCCTCTCAATTTCCATTGTAACTAAGATTTTTAAGGCTCTAATCTGTCACTCAGACAAATAAAATAATCTATCTCATCCCCAAAACATCCTCCACAACTCATAATGTACCACTTTGAACAAGCCATTTCTCTATTCAAAAACCTTTAGCAGTTACTCACCATCTAACTGAATAAACTCCTGATTCTAACATTCAAGCCCTCCCCAAATTTGTTCCTAACTACACTTCTATATCTACCTCATATTCAGTCCATTTGTCTATATATGGTAGACAAATGAGACTGTTTTCATCTTGCCCTTTTCTGTCTATGTGGCTTTGAATAAGCTACTGGAAATGGATTCTCCTTATCTTCATCTGTCATGTCCCTTGTTTCATTCAAGGATGGTTCACATGTCATGTCTTCTATAGAACCTTCCCAAATTTCCCCTGAAAAAGATCTTCCATTCTTCAAACTCATCACAGTACTTTGGCTTCATTTTTCCTTTGAATCATAGCTATCTCTGCATGTCTTTCTCCCATTAGACTTTAAATTTCCTTAAATTTAAGTAAAGTGGAGTCTATACAGGGCTGGGAACCAGCGACCTCGAGACCACCATCCAAACCAAATTCAAATCCCCAGAAAGGGGATTTGTTCTGTGAAGTTTGGATTCAGTCAAAGGGCCACACTCGAGGACCTAGAGGGCCATATGTGGCTTCGAGGCTGCAGGTTCCCCAGTCCTGGATATATTCCCCAGCACATACATAGTACAGTGAACTGCATATAGCTAATCTTTAATAAATGGTCATGTAATTTGTTGTTGAATCCTATAATAACATGAAATTATACAAAACATAAACTCTAAGGTGCTCATAAATTTAAGATAAAATAATGAGGATTATTCATATGCTTTTATTTATTATTTTTCTTTTACCTCATAAAGTGTGTTGTATGTAGTAACAGTCACAGTATTTGTATGCAGCATCAACCTCTCTCCAAGAAGAGTAAAAAGACTGTGGGTGTGCATAATTTCAACTTTTCTCCTACAAAAGAAACAAAATCACAATACAAGTGATTCTCTGTTCATTAAACAATGGAAGAAGGCATCTACAAACTAATGTGTAACTGTCTGAAACATTCATCTTATAAAAAGTTCATGTACACAAATTAAAATTTTAATGGAAAAATGTCACCAAAAGTCCAAACTACTATTTAAGTATTTTAATGTTAATTAATGGCTATAATACTCCAGAATCAATTTGTAAAATAAATTTTGTTGCTATATTCATTTTTATATCACCTACATTTCCAACTCTTTCTAGAGAGCCAGCACATATAACCAAATATTTTAAAAGAGTCATATAGAAATAAGAAGTTCCAGAAGAATAATCAGCATATAAAAAGTCTAATGTGAAGTATTCCACATTTATGGTACCCCTATTCTAGAGTACAGCCCGTTCTAAGGCAACTCTATCAATGCGGCAGACCAGGTAACCCAGGGTGAGTGTAAGTTGTATAGGCTATAGACCTTTCCAATACTTTTTTTTCCCCTTCATTTTTACGGTTGACACCAGTCAGGAGCAGTTTGTTATCACTTAGGAAAGAGTCCAGTATCCCTTCACTATCCTTCTCCAGAGCTACCTAAACAGCCTCAAACTGCCAGAGTCTAGTGGACAGGGTCCTGGAAGAGGCTTCCCTTCCTCAGGGCACTGAGGTATACTACTACACTAATGACACAATGTTTCCACATAAGGGTGGAATTAACTGAGATCCTAAGTCAGACAATGGCCTACAGGAGGAACAGAGTGGGAAACTGATGCCAAGAAAGTCCAGCTCACTCAGTCAAATTTTGAGGAAAGCAATGGGTAGCAAGCATCCAGATGATTTTGGACACAGTCTGGAATAAATTACTGACACTGGCTCTCCCACAAGCTAAAAAGGAAGCAGAAAGACTTACTGGACAATGCCAGCTCTTGAGAATACATATTCCCCATTTATGTATCCTGATGGCCGTCATTCACCAAGTCACATGCTAGTCTAACTCTTTCAAGGGGGACCCAGAACAAGATGCAGTACTGAAAGATCTAAAGCAGGCCATCCAGTACTTTTACCCCTCTGGGCCTTTAGGATCTTGTGGGGTTCCACCTTATTAGAGGTCTCTACCCACAAACAATCAAACAAAACGGAGCTTCTGGTAGGTGCCTGGGGGTGGCAAACCAAATGACCATTAGGTTTATGGAGCTGCAAGCCCCTTTGTGTAGTCACTTAACAAAACACTTTTTAAATGAAGATACTCTTCTTCTATTGAGTTCTAGCTGCTACTTACCGGATGATATAAAATCATATCATCACCCTTTGCCCAGAGTTGCCCATTTCGAGTTTATAGATACAAGCTTCAAAACCCAATAGTCTAACTCCTCAATGAGGTCAACAGGCTCCTGAGAATCATTGTTTTGCCTGGTTTATCAATGATTCTGCCTATTGCAAGAGGCATAAGAACTGGGCTGCTTTAGCAGCATTAATCTGCTAACAGGATATACTGAGTGATGAAGTCCTAACAGGTCCTCCAAATGAGCTAAGTTGCATAATGCACAGTGGGTAGGTAAGAGGGCCTTAAAGGAAATGTGACAGAGAAGAACTTCACCTACACTGATTCCTGGGCAGTAACTATGTGTCTGACCAAGTGGGTTAGAGCAGGCGTGGGGAACCTGTGGCCTGGATGCCACATGTGGCCTTCTAGGTCCTTGGATACAGCCTTTTGATTGAGTCCAAGTTTTACAGAACAAATTCTTTTATTAAGGGCATTTGTTCTGTGAAGTTCGGATTCAGTCAAAGGGCTGCACTTGAGGCCACATGTGGCCCTCTAGGTTGCAGGTTTACCTTAGGGGTAAAGTTCAATAAAGGAATGAAGGATGCCTCCCACACATATAGTTGTTTGTGGGACATGTCACTGCACAAAGACATCATATGCCCTCCTCTGAACAGAATATGCAGGTGATGCCTTTATGAGACACTGAGTAATTGGCTTGGTGAACAATTTGGATAAAGGGGGGCACGATGCCACGTTGTTGTAAGTGCAGGTCATATGATTCTCCTAACAAAAGATGAGGCAGCTACTTCTGCCCAATTATGTTCTTTATGCCAATCAAAATTCCCACCTCTGAAAGACAAGCATGGCATAATCTTCCATAGCTGACAACTTGTTTCCAACTGGTGAATTCATGTTGCCCCTCCCCCCATTATATCTCAGGGCAAATGGTTTGCCCCAATCCAGCTGGTACTTATTTTAGGTTATGGCAGACTGCAATGCCAGTCAAATCTGCCATGGTGATAGCAACTATCAGATCTTCCACAGAACAAACCCTCCCCTTCCTTACGGACCTCCTGGATCACTGACACTTCTAATCAGATGACCCACTGAGAAGGCCAGAGACCAAGCCCACTGCTTGGTTTTCCATCTCTTGTACTATCCTCATGCAGGTGGCATAGCTAAAAACTGGAATGAGCTCATGAAATAATAATTCTATTACTATGCTCTGTCATGCTCATGTCACCCGACTCTCATGGCTGAGTATGCCATCTCTCGAAAGCCATGTCCTCAACAAATCAATGCTACCCCAGGAAGGGAGAAGTCTTTCCAGTAAAGCTATTTCTTGGTTCTGACCTCCAGGAAGACTTATCTGATAACAATGGACTGCTTGTACACAGAGTTACAACTGACTTTCTCAGATCCTTCCTTGTTCCATTCTATGAAAGGTGTTACTTGGGGCTTCAAGGCTCCTGATCACTCAATGGGCTCTATATACACTGGGAAAACAACTCAAGTCCCTTCAATTGGTAGATCTCTTTCCTTCTAGGATAGTTCAGAAAACTTCTTTGAAAGTTAGGGGGAGTCAGGGGGTGGAATTACTGGAAGGTGCCCTATTTTCTAACCATATAATGGAGGTGAAACTTTCTGCATTAATTAGAGTGATTGTGAATTTACATGGAAAAAGGAGATATATTAGCCAACTTAGTGGAAATCTTGAGTGCCTGGATAAAAGTTCAAAGAAGCAGCAAAGGTTAATCAAACTTATTCTTAACTAGTCACAAAATCTGATACTATACACAGAATCCTTCCAGTATCTCTTTTTAAGAAATACAAATGAATATAAATGAAGAAAATAGAAATAAATCCATCTCTTCCTCTTAGTTCTGAAATCTCTGTGCAAACTTTATTTTGGTGGATAATAATGCTATTGGGTGGCATGAACTCTAAAGAGTTCAACTACAGCATAAATAGGCTTGTCTCTGAATCACCACAACAATCAGTTATTAAGTCTTTAGTACATGCAACATATCCTACTAAGTGCTATGAGAGATACAAATAAACAATACTCACATTTTCCCAATGTAATATAATTAATGTCAGTATTTTAAAAATTTTTTACTTTACTAAATAGTATTACATAAACAGGAAATACAGAAAACAATTATTTAACTGTTGTTAGGCTAATACATAAAAAAAGCTTATACCAAACCTTTTCCATTAAATGATTTTGCCTTTATTCTATTAATTAGATTTTGCAGGAATTATAATTAATCTTCCGATCAAATCAATTAATTTAAATTATTGAGGTTCTATTACATGTAAATTCATGCCAAAACAGGACACAACCCTAGTGTGGACTCTGATTGAAGAATCTTGTTGACACAACAAAGTTATTAAAGCAATACGGGAAGAGGATATAGGCAGAACCAGGAGAAAGTAAACTGGTATGCTACGCTTTGTTCTGTTAAGAATTGGAGGTTCTGAGATTGCCTCTTTCTACTGAGGTTTAATATCGTATGTTGACATACCAGTAGTGATTCAACCCAGGGAGTTTTCACTGTCCACACTATTATCTAACTACATTATTCAAAGTTGGCCATACTTTTCCAGACTCTGGGCATAGGATGCTCCACAGGGAAAGTGACTGTAGTCTTTTAGAGTAAACAAAGTTCTGATCTTGCCTACCAGTGGCTTCCAGATCCTTAAGATAGATACAGTGGAGATTTGCAAGTGGCTTCTGGCTCTACTAGAACATGGGCTACTTATGGTAAATGACTTATTTTTTTTTCTTTTCTTTCTATCCTCAGCATTCAGCACAGTGCCTGGCACGTAGTAAGCATATAAAAATGCTTATTGACAGTGACTGACTTGTTACCCTTGGCTAGGCAGGGAACAAGATAAGTTCACAAAATTCCACCTAGTGAAGTTCTATAGAGATAAGGTGGTCTGACCAAGTATTGGGAATTGTTAAGAATAATAAAATTTCTTAATATCACATAAGGAAACTGTTTTTGCTTATAACTAACTATAAAGTAAAGTCTAGGTGATTCTAAAAGGTTAAATCTAAATAGGAGGCATTTCTAGTAATCAGGGGCTAATCTTAAGAGCATTTTAAAATGTTTTTCCTCTGGGGGAAAGAAATAGGAAGATGCAAACCTCTTCTTATATATATTCTGTACTATTTAATTCAACAAATACTTATTAAATACTTACTGAATGCAAAGCACTATGTTAGGTTCTGAGGACACAAAGTAAGAAATGAAATAGTCCCTGCTACCAAAAAGCTTATACTCTTCTGGAGTGATACAGTATCTTCAGAAGTAAATCCAGCATTTATCCAATGTAATTTCAAGAAGAAAAGTGCTAGTAATTGGGTCTGGGGGAATGGAATAACAAAGGGTCTCACACAGAGACGTCATCCTGAATTGTGCCTGGAAGGAAACTAAAGATTCCAGAAGGTAAATGTGAGGAGAGAGGACATCCAGACATGACTCCACTTGTGCAAACGCACACAAGCAGACAGAATGTCTGACGGGAAACAATTAGCAGGATGGTTTTAATGTAATACCGAATGGGTAAAGGAGAAAAATATCAAGTAGAAAAACAGGCGGGAGCCAGGTTAGGTGGAAGAGGGCTTTAAATGTTCAGATGAGGAGGTAGCAAATCCTAGAGGCAAAAAAAAGGAAGCCACTGAAAATTTTTATAGGGGGTAACAAGGTCAGATATGTGTTT